GGGGCTGGCACTGAGGCTGGACTGAGGATGGGCTGGGGCTGAGACTAGGGTTAGCATAACATGGCCAGGGCCGGTCGAGTTGGGGAGGACAAGGTGCAGTCACTCCCTGTCAAATGCAGGCAACATTTAATGTCGCGGCAGTGCACTCACGAAAGGGGCAAGTTACAACGGCCCCCCTATCCTCCACAAAGGATCCGCCACAACCGGGCATGGCACGACAGGGCAGAAAACAGGACTGGGAGGAGCAAGAGGCAACAGGACAGTACAGAACAGGCCAGGACAGATAAGCAGGTGTGGCAGAGTGGAAATGCACAAGGTAGAAGAGCGCGAGACAGGAGAAAGCCGGTAGGGACAGGACAGGAGATAATGCCACAAGGCAGGGAGCAGATGATAGCACAGGGCAGGAGGCTTCAGGAAGACAGAGCTGAGGCAGGGCTAAGGGCTAGAGGGCTGAGCGCTGAGTGAGTTATGAAGGAGTTTGTCCTGTAAGATGGGTCCTAGATACATACGACAGGTTCTAGAGATGACAGGACAGATGAAGATGGAGACAACAGAGCGGAGGACGACATACCACAGCACAGCACAGCACAGAATGTGGCACAGTCAAGCAGAATTTGTCAACAACAAAGAATTAGCTGGAGGACCACTTTCAAAGAGGCTTCCTTCAATCCCAACACAACTGCATGGATGAAACTTACCTCGTGCACGTCTTTGCTTGGCTTAACATTTTTGTACCATGCCGTTCGCGTTACTGGTCATCTTAAGGTGAACATAGTACATACACACCTGACCAAGGTCAGCGAACCATCTGCATCAAGTGAAGTCACGAATGTTTGGAACCGCACACGTTCAAATTTACATCATAATGCGAGGCATGGTCTCATATGATGGGTCGTGTATCCAGGTCGTGGCAACACAGAACATAAACAAGCGCGTTCTTCGCTCAATTATAGGAGCAATGGCATATAGTTTTGGTGTTTTGGACATGCATGCATGATGTATGGCTTCATCAATGTAACAATGTCGCCCCGCCGCGCGCGTTCCGCGACGTCGCCGGTTGCCGCCCCATCCCTCGCCACTAGCCGGCAAACCGTAGATCGACGCGCAGTTTTTCTCAGGAACCGCCCTTGCTCCGTAACTACAAAGGTAAGGGACGCCTTCTTGGTGTCAAAACACGCGCAATAGATGCCTCATGGACAACCGAAAATTCGGGCGCGTTTGCACGAAATCCGGGGAGGTAACTTTAAGAAACCTTAGGGAGCTGCATCGAACGCCCCCCCCCCCCCTCCACCCGTTTTCGGGGCGGGGGTAAGGCACCAGGGGAACCAGCATTTTGGCATGCCCCTGTCCCACTCCATACTTCTAGAGACATCGTTATACCTATGCTTATCTTACTAACATTTCTAAGGGTTCAAGCCAAAATCTGTGTCAGACCAGGGCCTAGTCACAACCTAGTCACAAGTCTGGGCCAGTGGGGACCAAACCAAAAGCCCATACTTCATCGAATTTAAATAGTGCCTAAACAAAATTTGTTGCACTGCCTATCATCGTTGCGATCTGTTGACTAATCCATGCGAGCTTGAAAGATGAAACCACGCGGGCTGATTGCACGCACGAAGTTTGATGATGTGTGCGAGTGCTGTAATGCGTAAGCTTGGTATTTCGTGCGCAATTAAGAAAAAAAGAAACTTCTTTTATCTGGTAGCTTGCCGGCACATTTCTTCAAGAAGTGAATTTTTCATGCGTGTTGGAAAAAACGCGGGCTTAAACGAATCTGGCTAAATGTGGGCAACTTCCGCTACATCGACGGCACTGATATTTTGTCGGGCTCCGTGCTACTAATACAGCCACGGCGGCGACTTTGTCCGGGATTCTTTTAGACTCTGGTCTTCTCGAACGGTAGCATTGCTCGGAGCTGAAGTGCTCAGGCTGCGTACCGTTCCAGGAATTTTGCATGTGTTACCTTGATTGTGAACTTCATCCTTATCAAGAACCGTTCGTACGTTTCAGAAGAAACTATGCTGCGTCGCGTGCAATACGCTGCATGCGAATCATTTTATAAACAATCGCCTTCTTATCTTCAGACTACGTCGTTTATTAACGCGCAAATAGGTGGCCGGCTCAATGATTTGTTTGCTCCGGTTGGGGTCAATTTGACCCGCTGAGATTTCAAAAAGTAGAAGATAGCTGGAGACACCAAATTCACAGGGTGGATTTACCTGTAAGTAAACTCACTTATGCCAGAATTTCAGGTTCCTAGGTCATGAGTTTAGGGTCATTAAAGATAAAACAAGTTCAAACTCTAAAATGGTGTCTGAAGTGCCCCACATCTCTTCATGTAACCACCGTGAGGCTAGATATCCGTTCTAGGAAAGGTCAATGGTGTTAAATTGAGGACAGTGACATTGTTTACCTTTATTAGGTCAAGGTGACCACATATTTACAAAATTGCTCCTTTTTTCTCAATCCATTAGGCGTTAGGGATTACGCTAGGCGGTATGTTCTTAAAAACGAAATGTTGAACTGGGTCGTTTTAGGCCCGTGACTTACTATGAACTTGACAAAGACAATGTGACATGTCTGTTGCGGTCCCTGCCATTAATAAAGTCAAAATAAACAACCGGAACAACTCCATAAGCCAAGCTCTCAAGTAAAAAGCAAGGTAGTTTTAACCTAGGTCTGACCTTCATATCCGACCCTAGGTCAACGAGGTTTGTTGTAATTATAAATTTAATTGATTTATTGCATAAGAAATAATCTCAGATATGTACCACTTTGCTTAACTCTCTGATGTTGCGTCACATTGAACAAGCCATGGACTACAGTCGCATTTGCAACACAGCTCAAATTTTAGCAAATATCGTACTCCTCGAAAATAGTCAAAGCAACCAGCACAATGCTTGTTTAGTCTTGTTTTAATTCAGTGATTGGGACGAGATATTGGTGGCACTGACTAAACTATCATGCGAACTATTGTTCTCATCCGGTGGATTGGCGTATGCGCGCGTCACAGTGACCCGCTCGGTCAGCACAATGGTGGAGAGATCGACTCGTAATCAGACAAATCACGCTTTTTGATGCGTTCCAAGGAGCTGTCCCTATGTTTTCCTGCCCGACAGTAAATAATACCAAGACCCAAAATCTAACTGCCTCCGCCGCCTTGAACTACCGCCAACAGATATCGAATCAATAATCGCGTGGCTCAATGTCACTTGAATCGTCACTTTTTATGATCTATTCAAGTTATCATTTTCACTTTGGAACTTTCACTGCAAATAATCCAAGTGATCTTAAGATGCAACTCTCTTGGCGGCCTCGTTGCACACAACAATGCCCAACAAATCACTCAATAACATCTATTACCGTACCTGTATTTTGTGGCATTCAACTGTAACCCAATTTGCCATGCATCCTCCGAAATGCATTTCAAAGATAAAATGATTCACCGATGTATGGACAAAACTGAGCGCGTTTCATTTGCCTGCGTACCATACTAAGCCATCCTGTGTTGTACCTGATCGGACAGTTTCCCCGGATGAAAATAGCACAAATAAAAAAACTGAAAATTGAATGGAAATGTCCAACTTTTTTGTTGGTGAGGGACTGGGTGGAGGTGCAGGTGGTGTACCAACGTCCAGTTGCGCCACCATGTCAAGAATTTCGTCAAGTTGGCAACATATTCAGACCCATGTTCCGACCGATATTCTCCTGGGGCGAGCATCCGATTGACCTCAAATTATGTTCGCAGATATATTGTGACCTGACCGACTTAAATATAAAAACTAAAAACTACACCTTCCTTCAGGATCTAACCCTATCATCGATTAGCAGTGTTGCAGTTTTAGAGCATAACGTCGTAGCATTTAAAATGGATTTCTTCGATTTTCGCCAAAATGTATGGTAAAGATAAATATTGATCTTCGAAACACAGTAAACACAAAAGCTGGACCTTCAAGACCTTTGTTGGTGCCCACAAAAATTTAATATTGCGAATATTGTTATGAGTATGAGCCTGAGTCTTCTCCAACTTGACAGCCCATATATAGTGGTCTACTCTTGACGAAATACTGAACCCACCCTGGGTCAGTGGCATCGGCAAATACCTATACCTATGCTTTCCCTTTGATGTGGCGCGTTTGCTCTGGAGCACGATGAAGGATGATAAGTTTGAATGCAAACAAAGCAGCGAGCGTATTGCATATCGGCATGTGTCATTGTGGCGAAAACCCATAAAGCATCCAAACATCCACCAATCTGAATTTTTGGGGGGAGTATGTGAGGGTGATCTGTGGGAGGCCTGTGAGGAGCATTTCTATGGCTACATCCCCATGATTATTTAATGATACAGTACATGGTCAATCGATCTAAATGATAACAGGCGCTGTGCTAAGAAGAAGCTAATACGTAAAGGGTTTTTCCACCGGCATAGGGCAACGGACGTCCTTCCATGTTTTGGAGGATAGGGGGTAATAGCATCAGTCATTTTTTGTTTCCATTTAATGCCCACACTACCATCCATCTTTGGAAAGCTAAATTTTCAGAAAAATGTCGGTCTCAGCCCCTGCACTCACCCCCATTCTCACGCTTCCATGCCTTGCAGTGGTGCAGCGCAAGGCACATGCGGAAATTGCATAAAAATGCTCATTTAGGATAACTTCAGGTATTCAAAGCATGATTCTACACTATTTTGTATTCTGGTATCATTGTGTTGTTTTTACGGCCTCACCTCCACGGCCCTATCAAAACTGGTGGCGCTGCCCCCGGTCGCGCTACCACCAAGTTCATAGGTGCACCGCACCAGTTGGTCAGACATAAGCTGTGTCATCACTGATGGTAAGAGTGAAGTAGTTGTTGGAATTCAGCACAGAGATAAATCAAATGACTAAATTCATTCTTAAAAGTTTCAAATTTACCAGTGACGTAACATTAAGGCTACAATCCCAGCGTCATTTCGCCCCAATCTTGCATAACGTTTTCCCTTCCTTGACGTGTGGCAAGAAACACGTGGTTCGTGCGTGCCGCGGCGTCGTGCGCCGGGTATTGGCCCTCCTGGTTGTTTTCGGCGGCATTGGCGCGGAGTTGGTAAAGGGCAGTTGACACCGCAAAATCAGTGCATGTCAAATACCTAATAGCGCTCAACGCTTGACTTAAAACATGGGATACGGTGGAGGTACGTATTTCTTCAATTTGTAATGCGCTAGCGCCCCGAACACGGTGTACGCTGGTTAGGTTAGGTTTTTCTGTACGTGCAAGCAGGGCTTCTCGCCGAATGTTTCTGACATGTTCCGCGATAAATTGTTGGCTGCGTGCATTATGCATCAATGACTGGCAGTGGTTAGTGTTTTGTATTGTGTTTTGGCAGAGTTGAATTTGATGCAAGGGTTTAAAATTTTTAGGACAATGCTTTACTTTTGATAGTTTCCACCAACTGGATAGAGGAGATAACATTGTGTGAATATGACAGCAGTCTCTCTGATGTGTACCCCAACATGTAAGCTTGTCAGCCATTTCAGTTTTAAGTAAAGCACAGTAGTTTTTGCTCCTGTATCCAGGCATGGTTTGGCCTAGAGTGTAAAAATGTGTGTTATGCTGAACTTATCCCACATGACATTGATGTTGCAGCAACAATTTCAGAGCATGTATGCAATTCACTTGGGAGCTTGGATTTTGACCAGTTGTATTACATAGTGAGCTAACATTTCAAGGGGTGATAATGCTTGAGATATAATTGCAGGGTTAAATACTCGGATAATATTTTTAAACCTGTCATCACAAAAATTCAGCACAATTTGGCTTTTTCAGAGCTTGGTGCATGTGCGGTAAAGTTTATATTGCTAATGGTGCAGAGGCATTGGAAAAGTGGGTGTATTTTTGCACTGTCCTTGGACCATTGATCATCTATGAAGGAAATTGTAATGTAGGTTAGTTCTCAGACATGATAACCTATGTTTGTTATGGGCCTCCCTCATTACTATGCATTACATTTTTTTGTAAGCAGATTATCGATGGGATGTAACATGTTGTGGCTTGGGATCATGTTTAGAAGTAAAAGTTTCATGGAGGCTAGCTCTTGTTGCCAAAATGATTTGTGTACTAAAGGACTGCTAGATATTGATGTACTTAAGCACACTGCTTTCATTTCATGCAGATTTAGATTTGTTTGCCATCAGCAATTTAAAGTGGCCCTGACATAATTGGCTTATTGTCATATAGCCAAGATGGCTATGTCCTGAAAATGCAATTGATAACTGATTGCATTGCATGCTTCGGGTTTCCCATCATAAGACCTAAGTCCAGTACACAATGAGGTGCTGATTTATGTTCATATCTGCTCTCCATGTGCTGCTGTGCACAGTCTAGCCAAATGTAAATAGTGCACCTGCTCAGCATTTTGTGCTGTGTTCACTGCACCTGTTGTTGAAAGAGAAAAAGGCCTAAGTACTATTTACTTAGTGGTGCTCAGGTCTTTTTGCCTTTGGACATCAGCACTACAATCTTGTCACTACAATCAATTTTTGTGGTATGTGTGTTCTCCTTAGAACATCTATTACATGCTTGTTGATAGTTTGCTGATATGATGGTGGGCAATTTGACATACACATTGATGCTTATTTGTTGAGATACAGCTATGTTCAAACTGTTATTGACATGTCATTATGGTCAAACTATCTCAACATGTCAGGAGCAGAGCTACACCACTGCTTTGTAATTTATTGATTTCAGGAGCAGTTTTCCTGTCTTACACAATGCAGTATATTTTGTTTTTACTGCTTAACAAAATAATCATGGTAGTGTATATTTAGGCATCTAGCTTGAAAGTGGCATGTGGTCTGTTTATGGCAAAAATATAATGAATGAAATAGTGTGATGATGTGATTAATGCAACATGTCCTAGTTATGATGGGGCATGTCAGCTTTTTTTTTTACAAAATTCAGTTCTAGAAAGAGATGGGTATTGAGTATATTAACATACTAATGCTCCTTAATTAGGTTGTACCCATGAATTTAAAAAACTAATTGTGGGAAATGTTGGAATTCTGGAACTTTGTCAGGAGATTTAACCCTGATTAAATCAGCCCACTCAGGGACATCTCTGTCCCTACTTTGACACATGGTTACACAATTGCAGGTTGCTACACATGGTGTATATGACATTGTGTTTGAGAATGTAGAGGAAATTAGGCCTGATTGGAAGGTTTTACAATTGGAGTTTGGATGAGGACAGATGGGGTGTGGTCTGTGGACATTTGAAAGGAACTGCTTTGTGACAGTTTGTTAGACTGTCAGACATTAGACTGTTAGACTGTTAGATTATATATATATATATATATATATATATGATTGGTTATATATATATATATGTATATATATATATGTATATATATATATATATATATATATATATATATATATATATATATATATATATATACTATTAGACTGTTAGACTGTTAGACAAAAGACATTAAATGGTATGTCCTCAGGTACTTCTTGCTAAGTGTGGATCATGGTCAGGTGGCTTGTGTGTGTGAGTGAACATGGTGCTAGGTTGGGGAAAATCCTCACTCACTTACTAATAGGATAAAAGTCCTAAGGTACAAGCTACTCTGCCACTCCTCGCTGCACACTCCTCATCCAGGAGAGCTGATGCTTACAAATTGCAAGCACTTGACAGGGCATTCTTAGATTAATAGACTTGTCTGTGATGGAGTTTTGTCTTGCTGTTTGAGGCCCACTCCCTGGACATTTTATAGGGTTACAGGGCTTAACCCTTCAAAAACCTGCTTCTGCCAACTTGGCCTGTGCTTCACAGCCTTCACCCCACGGGGTGACCGTGGCGGCCGAGGCGGCTTTCGTGGGGGCCGCGGCGGCGGCGACAGAGGCGGCTTCAGAGGCGGCCGCGGCGGCGGCGACAGGGGCGGCTTCAGGGGCGGCCGGGGCGGCGGCGACAGGGGTGGCTTCCGAGGACGCGGCGGCTTCCGAGGTGGCGACCGCGGCCGGTCTCCGGGCCGCGGGCGCGGCGGCAGGGGCGGCAGGGGTAAGTGCTGCTCAGATCGGGCAAAGCGATGTGTGTCTGGATTGTGGCGAGTCTGCAGGCACCGAGGCTCAGGCACTCATTGCTGCTGATTGCCCCTTAGCAAGGCAGTGCAAGATGGGCGGATCTATGATGACTGTAGTGTGGTGGAAACTATATATTTTGCCCTCGGTCGACAGCTGAGATAATTGTTTTTGGGATTGATAGCGATCAGATTTGGCTATACAGTTATACAACAAGCACACAATCTGACCTCTGCGATTTTATAATGTAGTTAACAGTATGAAGTGGCTAGTATAGTGTCTCAGCCGATCCAATACCAGGATGCATGTCCGCTTGCAAGACGTGACGCTGTTTTCTCATTTGGGTAGGATTTGACATCTCCGACGCTGGTCGCGAACAATTAAATATTTTGTTCTTCGTCATGCCGCACATGCACCTTTACCTAGCCTTCGAAAACTGTTGGCACGGCGAGCAGACCATCTAAATAAGACGGCATGCGGAGGGCAGGCCCGGTGATGATCTTCTGTGCTCTCTAATCAGGTGGGATGCGGGGCGGTAAGGCGGTCATCATCGAGCCGCACCGGCACGAGGGCGTGTTCATCGCGCGCGGGAAGGAGGACGCCCTGGTTACTCTGAACATGGCCCCGGGTGACAGCGTCTACGGAGAGAAGAGGATATCAGTGGTATGTATCACGTTCGATGATGTGTGCTGGCGCGGCTTGTGCGTCGTATATAACTGTATATTGACACACCATGCGTCGTTTGTAGTTCCTTGCCCTGTCGGATGCATATGAGGCGTTTCACACAGACAGCTATTTGTCGTCATTTCTAGATTTACTCACATTCGTGATGTTTCACGACCATCGTCAGGGCAACAGCAGGAACGTCTAGCCGGCCCTCGGCCGCCGTCCGTCGCGTTGGCAATGAAGCCGTACCGCATCTGACTCCCCCCCCCCCCCCCCCGCCAGGACAACCCGGACGCGGCCGGCGAGAAGATCGAGTACCGCGTGTGGAACCCGTTCCGCTCCAAGCTGGCGGCGGCCATTCTGGGCGGCGTGGACGCCATCCACATGCCGCCGGGCAGCAAGGTGCTGTACCTGGGCGCAGCCTCCGGCACGACCGTGTCGCACGTGTCGGACGTGGTCGGGCCGGAGGGCCTGGTGTACGCCGTCGAGTTTTCGCACCGCTCCGGCCGCGACCTCATCAACGTGGCCAAGAAGCGCAACAACATCGTGCCCATCATCGAGGACGCCCGTCACCCGCACAAGTACCGCATGCTGGTCGGCATGGTGGACTGCGTGTTCGCGGACGTGGCGCAGCCCGACCAGGCGCGCATCGTGGCCATCAACGCTCACAGCTTCCTCAAGAACGGCGGCCACTTTGTGATCTCCATCAAGGTGAGGCGCCAGCTGTGGACCTGTCATGACGTTTCTTGCATAGCATTGTTGCTACTGTCGTGCATGTATGAATACCAGCCAGTTTCCATGTGAAGTGGGAAAACTCTACGCGTTTTGCTCTGAACAATGTGGTGACTAGTGATGACAGGAGCAGAGCACAAATTTGATCTGCCAAATGTCAAACACTATGGTGTCGATGGATTCCACGATTTTGCACACGATGCATGGACAAGTTGATTGCAGCAAGCTGATAGTAACGATGGGCTTACGGGGCCAGGAATGTTTATGACTCCTGTTTTGTCACCGTGATCGACAGGTGATGCTGATGGAATATACCATGCGAATCGATCAGGGCTTATTGGCAAGCTTTACCTTGGCCTTATGCTGCATGAATGTCATAGTTTAGTGACATGACGTCTGGCATGCCCGGTCTCATCCAGCCGGCCGCCCGCAGGCCAACTGTATCGACTCGACGGCAGCGCCCGAGGCTGTGTTCGCCGGCGAGGTGAAGAAGCTGATGGCCGAGAAGCTGAAGCCGGCCGAGCAGCTGACGCTGGAGCCCTACGAGCGCGACCACGCCGTCGTCGTCGGTACTTACCGTCCGCCCGCCAAGAAGTAGGCTCCCCGCCACCGCCGCCGGTGCTGCGGCCTTAGAAGTGCGGGGTCGTGCGGGTTTCGCGGCCGGGGTTCGAGGGATTTGTTTCCGCCTGTCGGGCGGGTCCTGTGCTCGTGTGAAACGTTGTCGGGGGATCGCGCGCGCCTTCATCGATGACATCATCACGGTATAATACACTCGCGTCGGTGACGGACGTCTTTGTCTGCGGATGGCGGCTTTGACGGTTTGATGAGCGTGGAGCCGAACTTATTTCTAAACAACGGAGGCCAGAATCATGTTTGTAGACAACGCCTGATTCGATCAATCGTCACAGTATCCCAGGGGACCATGGCGCCGTTTGTGGATGATGGTTTCCGGTGTGCTTGCGCAGTGCGCGTGCTAAGGAGGTGTGTTCGGAAGTGCATCTGCGGATTGCCTTGACAGACAACGTCGCGTGGTTGGCCCGCTTGTTCCGTATTAATAAAATGTGGGAAGACGTTCCAAGACCGACCTAATCATGTTCACCTTGCCCCGTAGCAGTGGAAGTGGGTGGCGTCATGAAGAGGGTTGTGAAACTCTTGCCCAGTAGTGGGGTGAAATGTACGGGAAAGCACTACTGAGCGTAACTTAGGCGTAAGTTCAAAATAGGCTTTAAATAGCTCTCACTGCAGCAGGTGGAGCCTCCGCGCGGGATATCAATATTTTCAAAACGCTGTATCCCCGCCACCGTTTTCCGTGCCGGTCGCTCGGATTCATTGGGGCAGTGCCAGGGGGTCAGGAATCAAACAAGTGCAGTCTGTCAAAAGCAAAGTTACAGCACCAGCCGATAGCGCTCCCACACTGCCATGATTTGTTCGGCCGCGCCTTCTGCGCATGGCGAAAGGCGTGCCTAAATGAGTGCCATAACTTTGTAAATCCGCGCTCCTGCCCGCCAGTACTGACTGATGCGCTACCAGGGAGTTAACCGACTGAAACTGATGCCGTCGGCAGGCAACAGCGTTACGGTGCGAGGTGGTGTCAATCATGCGGTGCTATCACATGCACCTCAACCTCCGCTCCTCGTAAATATATTTATATATGCATATACATATGCATATAAGCATGCGTGCATATATGCCTGCATTATACATGTATGCATATACGCTGCCGCATGCTGGCAGTCGCGATCCATGCATGTCCGACTGCATTCATAACTGCGCTGTCGGGTTGGGGGGGGGGGGGGGTCATTGGAATACAACTAGTGCTGTCAGATAACAACAAAGCTCCAGTGCCAGCCGATAACCCTCCAAATTGATATAAATCAAACAATCGGTCCTTGCATGCAGGACAGTAAACATTTTCAAACGAGTGCCCTGTCTGAAAATCCACTTACGGCATTCCCAGCGAGAGGTGAGCTGTCGGGAGGCCAGCCCAGTAAAACGGATGCCTACAGCCAACAGCAGAGCTACGGTGCCCGCTGATAGTTACCTGCAGTGGTTTGAAATAAACACGGCATCACTCGGCGCGCCTGATAACGAGCTGTTTTTCGTGCTCCGTGTGTTGGCCACCACGTTCAAGGACTCCTGCCCTGATAAGAAATGTGCTGTTAGGGAGTCATTTACACTGGTTCAACGACTGTGTCATCACCCTGTCTGTCATCGCCCCTTCATACATGTGTGTGTCGGGTGCAACGGACCTGCGCTGCAGCCAGTCCTTGAACGATGGAAGGTGCCAAAATTGATGTACATCCAACAAAACAAAACCAAAATTGAAAACTGATAACATGCTTAATCCATTCGAACTATCATCTCAAACAAACGACACAAAACGAGACAGGTCGGCTCATAGCAGACGATTTCGACAAACCACATTGGCAAGCGCAGCAGGTCTTCCCCTTTTCTTGGATTGCAACGCAGGCTGGGGACGCACGCTCCCTATGATGTATTTACTATATCTACCTCGTTCTTGAATCATGTTTGTCCACTCTGATTTTGCCTACTTTGGTGGACTTCTACTCATTGCACTTTTCAGCTGGACAGCTATAGGAATTTATCGTACGTATGTTACAGATAAGAAGTAAACGTACCATCTGGCATTCAGAATGTATAACGCGTAGTGGATAGCTGCCTCATTGGATGGCATACTACTCACCCGCACACTGGGCAAAGTTGGATTTCAGCTCACGCAATCAGCGTTTATTACAAAACATGCATGATAGATGAGTGCAGCTTCCTTTTCCCAAACGTAACATTGAGTTATCACGCGCATATTGGCGTGCCCCAACGAAAGAAGCGTACCTTTGCAACCTATGCACTGGGTTAGTAATAGATATTGGAAATAGTTCGACACCATATGATGCATCAAAACAGTAGCCATATTGCGTCACGTAACTGCGAGCTTTAGAGTGCCTGTCACTTAGGGTGCTCGAAGCATAGATATACGCACGTTGACAGAATACTGCGGATCATCTGTGGCACAGCTACAAGACAGTATGCAGACGAACACAATTGCACGATGTTATTTGCTCACTAAATTGGCAAGCATCAGCACCGGCACCAGCGGCCACCACCGTAGCACCCATGTTCAGCTAGCACTCATCGCGCACGCACATTCATATGACAAAAAGGAATGTCACGTAGCCATTCACGTTGCGTTCTAGTATAGAAGTTCGCACCAGCCATAGGAAAAATGCAGTGTTACGAAACTATGCACATTACTGGCAGGATTACACCATTTCCCCCAAGAGGCTCTAGGCATCTTGAGCTACCGTCTTCTCTGAAAACCTCGCTGAGCATATGTACATTTCATAGAACGGTCCTGGAGAGGAGCCAAATATTTAAGCGAATGTGGTCCAGCTCGCTCTGACGAACAGCGGTCACAGCAATCGTAATAGCCTCACCCGGTGAACTTTTGCCGATGGTCCGGGAAGCATTAGTTCGCCGATGGTTTTGTAACCAACAGCCACACGTGCATGACACTAGAAAGTGTCAGGCATCAAGCACTCCTCACAGCATGACAATTATCGCTTTGCGACCTGTGAATTTGCAGCATATAACGCAATGTTCGCGTTAAGGTATCGAAGACGGCGAGGTAAGATAACTTCCGAACGATAAAATACAAAGCTTAGAACACATGCCATGACCTTTCAATGCCGGTTTTGGTACATCCATCTACGCGACTTGCATGCGTTTAAAGCACGAACGCACGCGAAGTGCCATCAGGCCGTTATCACATCTTGGATTTCACGGCTGCCGCACGCACCACGCAGACCTGTGTAGTTATCAACTGCCGAACTAAGCACATCAACTGAGCACACCCCAAAACGCGGATGCTTAAAAGCCACATTCGCACAGTTAAAATAGGAGATCTAGAGGCAGATAAATCAGACACGACTACGTGAGTCAGTCCCAGCTCCAGCCCAGAATGAGAATTGGACTGCCGCTGTCAAATCAAATGCGCGCGCCATCTCATGCCGCAATCGGCTACTCTGAGTCCAGGTCGCGCTTGCAGATGGCGCAGCGGTCGGTGACCTGTAGACAGCGTCTCAGGCAGGAGCTGTGGAAGAGGTGGTGGCAGGGCGTGACGCGTGCCTCACGCATCGGCGCCAGGCAGACAGCGCACACATCATCCATGTCGCGCAGCTCGGCCGGCTCGGCTGTGCGGAACGGCAGCAGTAGCGCCCTCTGCTGTCCCAGCGCCGCCAGATGGCTCGTGCTTGTCTCTCGCGCGCGAAACCAGCAGCAGAGGTAGCCGACGGCCAGCGCCAGGCGGACGTGGCCCAGCCAGGCGGCGGTGGCGGCCAGCAGTCCGGCGACGGCCGCGCAGCCGTAGCCCAGCAGCAGCGGCGTCCAGAGCTCCTCCAGGCCGTCGAGGTTCGGCAGGCAGAGCCGCTCCAGCGCCGCCTGCCAGGCGCCTGTCAGTCGGCGCTCGCTGGCGGCGTAGTAGAGCACGGCCACCAGCAGGTATCCGGCGCTCGGCTGGTACCGGCTGAGGCCGCGCTGCAGTCCGAACACCAGCAGCATGGACACCACCGTGATGACGAAGGTGATGGCCTTGGTCCACTCGTAGATGAGCCGAGTGGTGGTGAGAGCCAGGTGCCGGACGCCAGAGCGCGGAGAGATGGTCACCTGCGCCGTCAGAGCCGCCCACACGTCACGCCGACCAATACGGTGAAGCGCGCCTCCATCGCAAAGCGGCGCGCCCGGAGGACACATTCACGAACACACAGATTGCTTTCCGTTTGAGCACGACATGATCTGCGTTGTGTTAAAGCGACAGCAGAAGTTCAACGTCAGTTTCAGTTTGTTGGAGAGATAAGCGGGTCTTGAAGTGCAGATGCTCGGAACAGAATCACGTCTATGGTACTTGTAAGTGGCTTTAACGTTTTCATTGCTGGTTGGAGTCTATACTGCGCGGCAGGTGAAATAATTATGGGAAGTAGCGTTCTCAACACGAAATTCAAAACTCCACTCATCTATATTATCACTCACCTCCATCACAAGGTCCTTGTGCGCCATTTCAGAGACGTATTTCACGCAGTACGAGACGACGTTGAGAAACATGAGGGTGTAGAGACTGCTGAACTTCTGGCCGGGCAGGAAGACCACGTCGCACGCCACCAGGGTCAGGAGCTGAAATCGACCGGTACTGAGTGAATAACTCGGGTGAAGTTGTACACCCACAGGGACAGCAGGCTCTATGAACAACAGCTCAAGTGCATGCAGCACATGCCGCTAGCTATCTAAGGAGATGGCAAGCACCAAGTATTCATTTAACTGAACACAGATCAATGCCCACGCATCACTCTAGAGTACCTCCGTACTGTGGCTGGCATCTGTGGCTAGCGTCTTCTGTGCATTTGTTTGCATTGATCAAAATCTTCAGGGGGAGAGTCGAGCGCAATATGGAGCTGACGTTGGTGTGCTTTTCCTTCCGTGGCGCTTGGAAGGTTGCATCCACGAGGCCGAGATATGTGTGAAGAACTGGCAAGATGTAGCAACAAAAATGGACAAAAAACTAATTTTCTTAAGGTTCGTGCCCAAAACGCGGTTAGATGAACATAAAAGCACGTACGTCAGTTGTGTGATCGCGGCTCATGTGTGATCGCGGATCGCGCCCCCCCCCCCCCCCCCCCCCGGAAGACCCCCTCCGCCCCAGCCCTGGGGCCGCCAACGCGCCTCTGCGGACGGCGCATCCAGTTGAGCAGTGTGGTGAGCTTGTGCATGGTCATAAGGGCGCGTTCGAGTCGGTTGGTTAGTAAGACGCACCTGGTTGAGCAGCGTGGTCAGGTTGTGCATGGTCATGAGAGCGCGCTCGAGTCGGGCCACGTGCCGCCGAACATCGCTGAGTCCCTCCCAGACGCCGGCCAGCGCCTGCTGCAGCGCCTCCCTCGCCGCCTCTGCAACACAGCGTCAGCGGATTCAGATGTCACCCGCCACACACGGACGGCGACTCAGGCGTCGAAGCCACACACGGACGGTGACTCAGGCGCCGGAGGCCACACACGGACGGTGACTCAGGCGCCGAAGGCCACACACGGAAGGTGACTCAGGCGCCGAAGCCACACACGGACGGTGACTCAGGCGCCGGAGTCGCACACGTACGGTGACTCAGGCGCCGAAGCCACACACGGACGGTGACTCAGGCGCCGAGGCCACACACGGACGGCGACTTGGACGCTGGGGCCACACATGGACGGCGACTCAGGCGCCGAAGCCACATACGGACGGTGACTCAAGCGCCGGAGACGGCACGGGACCGGCTATTGCTCCCCTCCCCCCCCCCCCCCCCCTCCACAAACATACACATAGACACCGGCTATTCCATCCACAGACGCCTGTTGTTTACAGAAATATCTTCAGAGGCGCCGAAACACATCAGAAGCGTGCAGCCATGTGGTGGGCTTACTCATGTGTAGATGTAACTCGAACAACAATATTACCAATCAGGAACGACTCGACAATGTGCTGAGGCCATACATGACCATGAGGCATCCTCCAGCATAAAAGATGCAAATGCCGTGCTACTCAAATTCTTAATCAAGACGACACCGTCTTAAGAGGAGGTCGGAGGAGGCCGGTGCAGATTAGTGATCACACAGTCGGTGCGGTGGCCCCCCGGGGGTCGGTGCGGCGGCCCCGGGGGCTCGGTGCGGTGGTCCGGGGGTCGGTGCGGTGGTCCGGGGGTCGGTGCGGCGGCCCCGGGGGTCGGTGCGGTGGTCCCGGGGGGTCGGTGCGGTCGGTCATCACGGGCGGCTTACCTAGCGCGGCGGCCCAGGCAGAGGTGGACAGGCAGGCAGGGAACACCAGCAGACAGTAGAACAAAGACAGTCCGCTGATCAGCAGCGGCGTCGGCAGCCAGGTGAAGTAGGGCGTCACCACCAGGGCGCAGAGCAGACAGGCTGAAAATCAACACATCCAGCCCGTAACTGACAGAACAAACAGTAGGTATCACTTGAATCAACCGGGTGCCAGGCAGATAATATGGCCGATAATAATAATGAATAAAATGACGATAAGAATAAAATGGCAGATAGCCTAAACCATAAGTCAAATGCAAATAGTCCAACACGCAACAAGTCAAAAACTGTAGAAGGAAAAGTGCCAAAAGTCAAGAGACAAAAGTGAAATGGATTAAGGTTGAAAGGCAAAAGATTACGCGTGACGCGTAAAGCCCCTGGCAGCCCTCTCGTTCAGGAGGATGGGCGCTTGTCCTGCCTCCGCTCATCCAGTAACATCAAGCCAATTAGCGGGCCTCATGGCTACGCGGAGAGGCGCAAGGGATCCCGAGTTGGAACAGAAGGGCCCAAGGACCCTATGAGACAAAATGGGGCCCCTCACAGGGGAAAAAAGCTTGTGGGCGAAATTTTCAGAAACGCCTCCTCAGTTTGGGCCGGAAAAGGGCAAGTGGACGCTAACATCAACTTATTCCTACTCCCCAAAACTATATCGAGTGTAGATTCCTGGTTTGAAAGAATAGAAACTCAACTTTCGCGGTGATTTTATGGTCTAAAACGGTAAAAGAAGCCCAATGTGCGGGACACGGAGGTCATTGGAATCACATCATGATAGCCAATTTCAGACACATGATATCTCTAGACATTTCAACACGCGCTCGGGTGGGGGTCAAATTGACCCGCCCGAAGGTTTTTCAAGAATGGTTTCCGAACGGCGCGGCGAACCGCGCCAAATTCTGCATAGCTGTAGAAAATTAACAGCAGGTCGTTTGACATGAAAAAACTAAAGGTACTTGTGAGGTCACTGACCCATAGCAGGTCAAAGTCGGACCATCGTTTCAGCGAAGGCAATTTCCAGGGAATCGACCAATCTGATACAATAACGGAGTGTTTGGCGAAGCCATACATCTCTGAGATGCTATCTTAGGCACTACAAATATTGAATGCGTAAATTACGTAGACCTAAGGTCAGGTATGAAGGTCACACCAAGGTCACAACCAACTTGATTTATTACTCTAGGGCGTGCTGTATGGGATAGTTTGCTGGCTGCTCATTTCGAATTTATTGACAGCAGGAACCGCATTATATATCTTCCATTGGCTTCTTAGAGGTCAGAAAGGTCATTGACCTAAGATGATCCAAGTAGACATTTTGTTTTATGAACTTACTGCCTAGCGCAATCTTTGTCACTTATTCAAATGCAAAACTCAGAGCAGTTTTGTATGAATTTGGTCACCATGACCTTCAAAAGGTCAAACCAGGGCACTGACATCAAATGGGACTTTAACTTTTTGCTTAGAAACAGTTTCCTAGGTTCTGGGGGCACTTTGGTGAACAACCCTAGAATTTGACCTTGTTTGACCTTACTGGAACTGAATGTTATGACCTAGGTAGCTCAAAGGTTGGACTAAAGTGAGTTCACATACAGGCCAAGACACCCTGCTAATTTGGTGTCTCTAGCTTTCTTAGTTCCCGAGATTTCAGGAGGGTCATATTAGCCCCCCCCCCCCCACTCCCACCCCACTCGGACGAAGGGTGTCTAGCCGGCCACCCGGGCGCGTGTTAAGGGTTGCTTTGTCAGGGCAAGCATGCTGCAACAGAGGGCCCCTTCACTGATTTCGTCACTGTGGAAGAAGAGGTTGGGATCGAGCGTAAATGAACCGTAACAAGGGTGAGAAGGAGGCTTTGGACAGGGCAACGTTTCGCTCACGCGTGTTTCAAATCATGCTCAACTTTCAAAACTAGATGAAAACATCGAAGGCGGAATGCCGTTGGCTCCCTGGAAACATCCCCGTTATTTGTTTCGCATCTCTAGCTCAATTAGAGGCCAAACAAACCCTCCCTCTATGACAACCCCCCGTAGCGCCCCCCCCCCCCCCCTCCCTCCCCGCCCCCGCTCCTGCTGCGCCGCCTCCGACTCCATCGACAACAAAAAGAGCCCCCTTTGTTTCCACTGGTCGGGCTGGGTTGGGGGAGGGGCTGCTGACATGGAAAGAAGTTCCAGCCTGTAAGTAAGTGGGACAAACAGGTGTGGCTGGGTGTAAGGTGTAGAGTGCCCGGATTCGGCCTGGGAGGTGCCCCAGGTGGCCGACCGCTTGATGATCTCTGGGCCTGTTTAATTTCGATGCATCCACAGGTTTTGTGTAGCTGGATTTTTTGCCTCTCACTTAACTTTTACACTTCAAAAAGCTAATTTCACGTTATCTTCTTAAATTACATTCCTTCGGCCTTTTCCCTTTGACTTTTACCCTTTGGTTTGTATTCATCAGTCCTTTATCCCTTGTCACATTTTCCTCATCGAACGTACTGGTATTGCTTGTTCGATATATTTTGACACATATGACCTCGTCATTAAGGGCTTTCCTGTGATTTTTGTTCCTTTTGTCTTACCGCCTTTTTCTAAGTTGTTGCAGTTGACTTTTATCCATTTGATCTTAACCTATTTGATTTTTTGCATTCGACTGTGATGTTTTTGAATTTTGGTGCCGCAGTGTTGTCGCTTTAACGTATTACCGCATGAATTCAGACCGTTTTTGATTGTTGCTTCTTTTGACTTCTTGGCCTTGAAAATTATCCGTTTATGAACCAACAAACCGGGCCGGTCGCAACCAGCCCGCAGAGAGGACATGCTGCGACCTTCACATAATCAGCCGGGTGCCACCAGGCCGCGTGAGCCCAGCACAGTCCGACGGTCGCCACCAGACCGCGTGAGCCCATCACAGCCCGACGGTAACCACCTAACCGCGTGAGCCCATCACAGCCCGACGGTAACCACCAGACCGCGTAAGCCCATCAAGCCGGACGGTCGCCGCCAGACCACGTAAGCCCAGCACAGCCCGCCGGTCGTCATCATGAGATGCCAGACACACCGGGATCCAACCAACCATCCAGCTACTCACGGAGCAAGCATCTGAGCTTTTGACGTAATATTCTTAAAAATCCTTCCGCATGTCAGCTACATAATTTTTACGGCCATGTAAACGTTGATCTGACTTGATAAAAGTTATTAAAGTCGTGGTATTTTTTTACACGGATAGTAGCGAACATTTTGTAAAAACGTATTCGCTCCTGGGAATTTTCTCCTCGGACTCCTGGGGATTTTCTAACATATTATGCGCAATGTCGTGAAAACGAACGCTTCATTGACATCTAGAGATCGTGGGGCGACAAAAGAGAATATTACTGGTTCGTGACGTGTCTCGGTAAGGTTAAACGTTTACCTGCTTTGCTGGGCTCGTCTTTCCGATACGATGACTTCATTGGTTCCGCGCTGTCATCCAGGTGGCGAAGGATTATCATTGTGTCTGGAACAATGGACACAAACAGATGTCAGTCGACAGCCGGCGAAATACTCGAAGAAAGGAACTACTTATTTGCCAGTTCACCAATCTGGTCTGTCTGGGTCTGTTTCCGTCTGGATGTCTGCATGTCTGGGTTTGTTTAACTAATGTCCACTTGAACCTAAACTATTCGCACCACAAAGTTCTGGTTGGAACGGTAGAATGGACGGGCGTCATCTCCGGGAGGGAGCGTGTCCGACGTTCTTTTACAAACGCCATTGCAGGATGCCTCTGGACTTCCTCGCTGTCTGCCTCGTGGCGTCCGAGGTTCGGAATGCATTCTACACAACGCGCAGTATTTTTACTTGCGGTTCTGACGTGAACATCATTCTTATGTCCGCCTTCTGTGAGTGTTCATGAAACTGAGGCAGGCACGCCAACAATCACCCGCTATATATTGGCCACCATTAGTGAACCGTGCGAAATTTTGGCCGACGTTTATCACCAGAACATCTACGGCGTTGAAACCCAATTACATGGGGTAGGCAGCCGAGATAGGATCGGTTGGTTTCCGATTCCTCGGCGGCCCCCGGTCGGTCGGGGACGCGTCAGTTTAACGGGCGTGCGGCCGGCCGGCAGCGCAGTTGGCGTTCTGCCCCGCCGATCAGCGTCATGACCGGCGCAGATCTGCCGGCAGACGGAGCACGACGCAGCTAAATTCGGCGGCGCCACCCTCGCGGAAAGGGGCGGCCGAGCCGACGGCCGGTGCCGCCGCGGCGCACGTGGATGACTCAGGGGTGCGATCTGACGCCACAGGGCGATCGCCCAGTGCCGACCGACGCCCCACGCGCCGCACCTGGAGCCAGCGGCGACGGTGAAGCGCGCGCTCTTTGTCCCGATGCGGCGAGCTTTGTTCGCGCGTTCGGCTCCTTGATGTGCGGCTGGCCGGACTCGCTCCACGTGAACTGCCGGCAGCCGTTTTGGGCAGAGCCGGTGCAGCCTCGCCCGACAGCCCGTCGTTGACGGAACCTGGCCTCTTTGTTTGGGAACGATGCCTGAAATTTTAAACGTGGCGGCGCTTTCAACGAACTTCTTCCAACGAAAGGCAGGTTTGGAAGTGGTGTAAGCAAATGCGCGTTCTATTTACTATCCAAGAAATGTGCATTCAGAAGAGGAATTCCTGTAACAAAACGTGAGTTTGCGACAGGGAACCATTGATTGAACCTATTACTCTCCCGAACTACATGGCCACTTTCATGCCTGTATGTCATGTCGGTATTCCATGTATGTCTGAATAAGTATGACATATCAAGACGCTGGCTAGCGTGCGACAATCGAAATGAAATGCGGCTGCGCTGACAGACGTCAGTCATTCGTTTCGTCACCTTAGTAATTATGCATGCCGTTCCGGCCTAGATAGAACCTTTTGGTGAGGTGAAGTAGCTCGCGCGACCTTTTTCTATGAGTGCAGATTGTCTTGTTGATAGTCAGCTGTTTTGTCCTTTTTAGCCACCGATGACTTCATCATGGCATCTCAGGTCAGCACGGCAGGCCATGCACGTATGATCGGCCACAAATGCAGTATGTATATCTTGCTGGTATGTTGCATAGTTTCTTAGGACGCAAGCCGGGATTTCATGGCGGCTCGGCGTTGTTAGACGGTGTGCCTTACTCACCTTAAAGGCTGACTTACCAGTTTAACGTAGTAGAGATTCATCGTTCCATATAGATCGTCCATGACATAAAAATTGCAACGGAACAGGTTCAGTTCCTTGAAACATTCAGCAGTCTCCACAGACACTGATCGAAACACGGATTGAATAAATCCATGGGTTTGGGATGATCCCATGCATCAGGCCTGAGTGCACCAAGAAATGTCGGAAACATCTGGATCAGGGTGGACTTGCATTAAAAGTGATCTGCCCAACTTGAATGGAGCTGATAAAGCGCATCAAGCTTAATTTATGTAGCGGTCAACACCCCTATGTATTCTGTGCTTCTCAATATTCATCCAATTGGCACGAAATTGGGACGAAATGCCGTGGATTAATGCGAACCGCACTAGGAAATACAATGCTCCAATGGGTGGGATAAAGTGGGCTCCAGAGATATGTTTGGCATTTCAGGCTGGAATTCGTGAGATGGGTGAATTTGTGGGTGACTTGCTTTCAGCAATAATGGGTTACACTGCACTGTGCCCTGGAAATTTGTTCCACGAATAATTATATTTTAAGGCACGGAACAGTCATAAAATAGGCAAACGTGGGTGACACGCCCTCTTTGCGTACTCGCAGGTAAATCTGGCCATCCTTGCTTCAGGTCAACTGAGCGCGCTGTGATGGGTCCAGGCCGGCCCGACCCGTCCTACCGCCGCCTGTTCGTGGTCTGTAAACCCGGCGACAGACGAACACACCCGACGAGGAGCGGCCCAGGACGCCAGCGGCGCGGAGCCGGCAGAGCTGGCGGGAACCTGGTCAGGTCCTTTTGGAGGCATTGTATGAGCGAGTCCCTGCAGGGCATCAACTGCCAGGCTGCTCTCCAACGACTGCTATTTTTAAAGGGGGTGAATCGCTCAGCGTCATTGGAAAGGGTTCGTTATGGAATCGTGCAAGCCAACATGCTTACCACATAGCCAAGACGTTTAGCCCCAAGCCATGCCTGAAGTCCGTCCTGGATGCTGACAACGCTATGACAATGCTCCTCTTATCAAAGCAGTACTCGGAGATCACCTGACAGTGCCCAACTGATCATCTTGGAGGCTGCTCTTTGAAATATTCCCTGTAGCGTCACACGATGTCTAGAAGTCATTAGACGCAATCAGCATGCTACTCGATGTCTACGGTAGCGTTGCACCTCATCTTTCGCTTCTCTTGTCCTCTTTATCTTCTGGGGTGCTAGGGGGGGGGGGGGGGAGAGAGAGAATCGCACCGGCATGACTTACTGCTCCTGCAATTATTTCCCCTCCGCTCTGCCCCAAACTATCGAATGCTGCACCTCTCCGGCTGTTTGGTCTCAATGATTCCGGTCCAGGTTTCAGGTCCCCCGCCATCTTAACAGACGGGTGTTTAATGAACATTGCCATCTTTCAGCCCGAAGTCACTGCATGATTTTGTCAAGATCGCCCTGCCACTGATTTCGGAGTCGCTTTCCTCACTTGATTTCTGCCATCCTTCAACAGATATTCTGTTCGCGCACGATCTTACAGTGAACCCAAACGGGCGAGTTAAACGGGACAATTATGTTTGAAATTCATTTGCGGACGAGACATGAGCTTGGGACTTGTTATGATGCAATCCTTACATTTCGTGATATTACAAGTTTCGAGCTTCCCAACAATTGTGCGCGATATTTTTCGCCCTGGCGATTTCAGCAATAACAAATGAGTTACGAATTTGGCCCGACGCCATCCAATACTCATCCCGGCAATGTACCAGTTAGGGTGCCTCCATATATAGGTCCACTTGTTCCGTAACGAAAGTCGACTACCAATCAAGTGCATTGGCTCAACAACACAGGTCAATAACAATCCCTTATCTGAGGACCTCGCACCATTCTTGCATCATGTCAGCCCCCCCCCCCCCCTCTCCCTCCCCTTCCAGCGCACCACGGCAGACAGATGTATCTCATCCGCGACTCACCTGACTCTGTGACGCGGCGCTTACTCAATGGCCACCAACCACGCACGGAAACCGAGTCCGACAAGGGCAGGACGCCGTCGGCCGTTGCGGTCTGGCGTGAGACTGCCGGTCAAATGCGGCGCCTCGGGGCTCGCACCAGGTCGACGGGCGCCGGCCGATTGCTGCCAGTGGGGCGCCGGTTCACAACATCGCCGGCGGCTATTTTCGGTACAGCCACGTGACCCTTCGGCTGCGACGCTGGCCGGCCGGCCGAGGTGCGGGATGTGGTGGCGGCGTGCCCTTGGATGTGCGGGAGGTCATGGCGGCGTGTGCCGGTCCGCGCAGGGCACCGCCTCGACGCGCTGACTGCAGGGAGCAGTCTATGTGTTCTTGCTGGATGGCATATCTCGGCCGTTTGGGCCAAGGTCTGTTACGACGGTTTGGCTGAGTTCTTAGGAAAGCTGCTGCCTGATATTTCCAAGTTGTCAGTCTGGATTTATTTCAAGCACATTCAACCACAACATTCAGTAATGCTGCTCACATGATCTTTTTAGATTATGTGTGGACAGCCGTGTGCCCAAGCTGTCTCTTGCCGACAACCAACCACAATGTGGCGTCAAATCTAATTCATGCGGGGCTCTGCGCCGAAGTCAGTGACTCCTGGACTTCGGCCTTCCTAGATGAACGCCACCCACTGAGGAAGGAATCTGAGACGTCATAAGCCAGCGATTCAGACGCCTCAGAAGGAACGCGCCAAGTTGAAAATGAGACAACGAGTAAAATCAGGTCACTTAATTCGCCGAGCTATATCAAGCATAGAAATGGCGCTTTGGGGGCGAATTATATGCTACAGCTATTGACAAGTTGTGTGGCGAAACAAAAATAACAGTATCGACAACCATGTGCTCAATATGCGATCTAGAGCTGACATTTGCCCGACATGCAACCTGTGAACAGGCGTTGGCTGTTGCTAGGGGTCGATATATCAACATCCGCAACGGAGTTCAAGGCACGATAGCCAAGTTCACAATGCGCTTCGACAGTGACGTTACTGATTAATCAGATAGCTACACCATATGTGGAATGGACTTGCAGAAAGTAGTAAATGGGCTTACAATCGCCAAGGAAGAACAGGATCCCGGTATATGGCCGGAACGTTGGGTGCCTCTGGGATCTGGATCGCATCCGACTGTGCTGTTCACAGCGACCCGAGGCTTGCACAGTGCAGTGGCAGAGGCCTGGTCTTCATAAGACATTTCTTAGTTGCTGTGGAGTACATAACTCATAATTTCCTTTTACATGCGCATGATTGCACGCCACTCTACGGGAGCAATATTGCACTGCCACAGGTGGCTCAGAATGCAACGAAAACTATCATCTCTAATTGTCAGCTGCCTATGACGTCATATCCTCTGGAGGCGGCTGCTCGCCGCAGTCTCAGCGTTGGAAAGGTCAGTGGTGCTATTTTAGCAGCCGCCCACATTGGATTCTGGCTGTTGTAGCACTTTGGCCTCGATGACCTTCCTCACTTACCTTCAGCCATTCATCGACCATAAAAGACCCACATCTAATCATCAATTTCTAGTTCGTGCATTATGCCGACCGGGTCTAGGGTGCGCTCGCATCTGTGTGCAAATCGTGTCTAGCTTGTAGGACCTGCGAATTCAGTCAGCACCCAATACATCTAAAATTCAGTTTCATCAATGTCCAAGTCCATGCCTAGTTCTAACACATCCCTATTTGGAGCATGCAGCGTAGACATAAGACAGTGGGTGTTTATGACTAAAATATGTACCGAATCCAGGCCAAATAGTGCACGCATAGCGCTTTCAGCTGTATTACGTTAATTTTTCACTCTGCATATTTTTGTTTGTGTTCTTGTGAAATCACGCAATCACAATCCCACCTTGTTTTCTTGTGAAATCTGCCGTTCAAAGTCATGAGCACCAAACGTATATGATATGTTCGAAGTCATGCACGATCGCATGCGTCCGTGACGTATCACACAAAGCGAGAGCAAGTGGAAGTGCCTCGGTAATACGATTGCCACGGGTAAGGACCAACGCGGACAAACGAATATTGTCAGCTCCAAAAAAAGAGCGGAAAAAATGCGAAAGCGTTTGACCCTTCGCCATCTGCAACGCCAGACAGTGGGATTTATCGCAGCGCAGGAGAGCACTTAACGGATCAAGTACATCCACCGATTGGAATGAAGCGGATCAGAATCTTCCACCAAAATGCGGATTAGGACCGCACCGCATTTTCAAACTTACAGACTCACAAAGTGGAAGGATTGCAAATCAGACATGCTGGAATAGTCATTAAATATCCATGAGTTACAGAATTTTGTCATTAACTCTAAACTGAGCTTTAGGCCTCGTCTGCATAAGTGGTCAATGCGCCATACCTCCACGTTAAAGTTCTCGGAGGATAACTCTCCATCACACCGTGCAATTGCACGCATATTTTCGGTAATCTCCGGGGCATCCAAGCGCGTGTATTGACGCCGAAAGCTGTCCATTTCGGAAATCAGCTGACTGATCCACGCCCGGTTCGGGCGGCACCAGACGATGCCGCGTGCGGCTCACGGCGGGCCGACACTGTGACATTAGCATAGCCCAGTATCACCAGAATGTGCTTAAAGTGCATAAAACTGCATACCGCTGTACTCATAAATGAGCTCATCGGTAATCACAAGCATTAAACCAAACAAGGAACACGCCTGTTTACATTTCGTGTCGCTACAGGATATGGGTGCTGTACAAATAAACAGGCAAAGCAGGGAAATTTCTATTGTCAGGCAAAACTGACCCTGTATCTGGCGTGGTAGGGTCCATAATAAAGAAACAAACTAGTTGCACGAAAGGATTGAGACGACGCATAAGTACCACGAATGGCATAATTGCTCGTACTATCGTCCTCGCCTGGTGTGTTGCATGCCGCAATTGTTTCATTGATTCTTTTGGGTGGCAACACCCAGCCTAGTGGACAGCCGTGTTCATGCATTACACGCTTAATTCTTTCGGTAATTGTACAGCGGCTAATTGTCTCGTCTAGATTATTTCGTGAGTTGGTTGTCCAAAAACTGGAACACATATGCAGGCAGTTATGCATTAGACGATATGGCTATTTTATTTGTTCGGCAGACATGCTATAAATTCGAAACATTTAGCAAAGTAATGCAAAGGGCTCCGCGATTCTATAATAGGGTCTCCTATTTCAGAAAAGGGCCTCCTTATACAGAGAAGGGCCTCCTAACCCAGAACAGGTGGTTGTGATTCACAAAGGTGCCTTCAAATCTAGCAAAGGGCTATCCCAGAGCAGGGCATACTGGTCCGGAAACGAACATCTCATGCCTGAAAGGGCATCCCATTCCAGAAATGGGAGCTCTTGAATGCAGAGGATGCCTTTTAACTCAGAACAAGGACCTCCTGGTTCGTAGCGAATGCCTCCCCAGCAGGCAAGCAAAAGGCCTCCTTAACACATTGCTGGGCCTCCCGATCTAGAGCATGGGCGACGTTGTTCATAACGGGTGGCCTCGGACGATGGTTCGACTAACCAGGCATTCGGACAAGGAACCAGGCAATGGGCCTAGTAATGCAGAACAGGATCTTCCGTGCCCGATTCATGTCTGTCTAGCTCACTTATAAGCCTCGTTGACCTGAAGTTTGGTAATCTACGGGTAACTAGGCCTGCTGTTTTGAAAATAAGAGTCTCCCAAATATCTGAGGGGGCGAAAACATACTCTCACTCTTACTGTCATGCGGGGAGGGCAACTGCCCCCTGCCTCCCTGCGACGCAGCATGTCTTCCAAAACTGTTACTTAAATGAAAATAGACGGACCTCGTGCTTACAAGCTTCTACAAGCTGCTTTTAAAGACAGACTACCAGCCACATTATCTTAATACTTACCCGTTGATGGCAGTTGATCATGAACAACGGACAGTTAGTATACTTGTGCCTACCCAGCTTGTTGTCGACAGGTTCAAGAAGTGGATGTGGAACAGCACGACACGAATCCATGTTGCCAATTTTCTGGCAAACCGGACCGGATCTGACCAAATTTAGGAATTTGTAAAAAATTAATTGACGAACGGACTGCAGCCAGACTAGACGTGATGGGCAGGAACAGACCCTGAAAAAAATCCGTAGTGTTTTCTGATTTTTACAGCCTTTAGACAGCCATCGGCTCCACTCCTCCCGCTGTTCCAGCGCCTTTCAACTCCTGCTCTAATAGTATATATAGTATAGTAGTAACTATTTGAGGATGCGATCACGTTACGCAGAAAGCCCTGCACTGCAAGCTACATGACTCCAGGACTGCAACGACCTATTCATACAAGCCACCAAGAATCTGTTACTGAGACCGCCGGCCATGCACCCCTCCCCTTGTGGTCACATCTCTGTTGTGGCGCCGGGCGCCAGCTGTCGTCCGGTCCAGCGTTGTGCGTGGTCCGCCAGCCAATGGGCAGGCCGGTGGGCGGGGGCTGGGCGGCACGTGTCGCCCGCGGGCAGGCCCACGTGGCCCGGCCTGGCGCCAGCTCCGACGCGCGGCGGCGCGACTGCCACCTCCGGGTGGGGCTGACGCGGCGGACGACGCCATGATGACGCAATCCCAGCACTGGTAAAGACGCTGACGACAGCAGACACGAGTCCAGCAGGCGCTCCGCCGCAGCGCGGCAACCGCTCGTCGCACCGCAGCACAGGCCGGCGCAGAGGCGTCTGGTGATGTATTTACACCCCAGGACCGCAAACAGCTGAAATTACAAAACTGCCACATAGTCTGTACTCGCCGCTCGCGTCGCGACTGCTGCGTTGTTAATGCTGGCATAAAACAAGGATCTTCTTTAAAAGCAGATAGGCCACCACCTCCAAGCCCATGTGCCGTTGATTTTTCCATTCGAGACGTAAACGCTACAGCTCGGCCTGAAACTAGTGCAATGGACTTTTTGGAGTAAGTGTTTAGTCAGAAGGCACGATAACTTAGCCCATGATCCGAGTTGCTAGTACATTGATGGAATGCGTTCGCTCACTGCCCTATTGGAGCGGGTCCAATCATAGCCCGCCTCCGGAAAGAGCTGATGAAACAGTCTATTTCTGCCGCCGACGGAGCCGGGGCGGTCGGCAGGTCTTTACATCCGGCCGCGGGTCAGAGCCCACCCG